TGAAAATATAAAAACTGTAGAATGCAATTGTAGCTAAAGGGAAGGACGTTCAAGAAAAATAACTGCAAATTTTAATCAATTCATTGCGTAATCAAGTGTTTAATTTCATTTTGGTTAAAGGATGTTACATTGGTGTTTTTTACTGCTTTTCCACGCTAGACCCGTGTTTGTGCAAAAATTTTAAAAGTTGCCGGAACAGTCGAACAACTCGTTGCCGGTTTATTTAATTAATAAATGTCTTCGTGTTGTCAGAATTGAGTACATTTTTACGCAAAATCGAACACAATTATCACAACTCAAATTTAACCGATTTTTCTACTCGCTTATCCCCGTATTACTTTATAAAATCAAATTTGTTATCGAATTTCTTATATATTTTTTATATTCGTGAAAGATTTTCGGAAACATTTTATTGAAAAATCCGGAAATTACGAATAAAGTGGAATGCATCGAAGGGGACCTCACAAGAGAGAACTTAGGACTTTCCTCGTGTCATATGAATTTGATAACGAAAAACGTTTCGCTGGTGTTTCACTTGGCCGCTTCGGTTAAATTCGATGAACCTTTTCGGTGAGTTTTACGCTAATAAATCACATTTTTTTGTTATTTGCCTAATTATTTTTATTTCTTTTGTAGCGATTCGTTCGCCAATAACGTGGAATCGACGAAAAATGTGGCCGAAGTTTGTCGTCAAATGAAAAATTTATCGGTAAATATTTTGTGAATAATTTAAATTACAACTTATTCTAAAATTAAATAGCAGCGAATTAAACATTAAAATTTTTCATATTTTACGAAATCGTATATTTACAGTCGACCCCCTATAACACTGTTCATTATTACGTTTTATATGAATGCCATGTTGTACGAGTAGTCACTTAGATTTTACAAATATGTGAGCCGTTCACAATCCGGCACACGTATTTGTAAAATCAACAGTGTTATAGGGGGGTCGATTGTATTTCGTTTTTTTTTTTACTCTAATCTCATCCAAATATTTGTAAAAGCCAGAAATTATTAATGATCATGAAATTATTACAGTGATCAACCAATGATTCGTGCTTGGGAGTATTTTCAGTAAAGATATACATTATTAAGTCATTCTTTTAGAATCTTCGTGTTTATAACAGATTAAATTTTCTCTAAATTCAGAACGTGGGTATCTTCGCAAACTGTTTAAACCTGCAAACTCTTTATCACATTGTAAAAATTTCCGGGTGTTTGTTGTGTTATTTAGAACTACGATTTGCATTCGAAACCCGTATGTCTTAATGATGTTTCTCAATGATAAATTATGAAGAGTTTTCTTCATAATTTATTGTTGAGAAACATTATTCGCTGTACAAATAATTACAACACTTTTTAAGTAACCATGCAAGAAAAACGTTGGAACTGTGATACATAAGTGATTACAAATTAAGTTTTGTAATCACTTATGTATCTTTATAATTTTGCATATAATATAAGTTATATATCATAATTTCAGGCATTCGTGCATACTTCTACAGCTTATTCTTTCTGCAACAGAAAGGAAGTGGATGAAAAAATCTATACAATGGACAGAACATATGAAGAATTTAAGAACATTGCAAAGTATTATACTATGACATATTAAGTGTAATTCTTTTTGATTGTATTTCCTGTACTGTACGTGCATTGCATTAATATTTTTCTAATTGCAGACTAGAAAATATTGCTTCCTTAGAGATAACAGACGAAAATTTTTTGGAAAATCGACCCAACACTTATACTTTAACAAAGGCCATAGCAGAAAATTATTTAAATACTTTCTGTAGAGATTTGCCTGTAGTAATTGTAAGACCTTCTATTGTTAGTTGTACTTGGAAGGAACCTTTTCCCGTGAGTATTTCTATTCTACGTCAAAATACATTATACGTTTGGGTGTAATCAGTACATATTTCTTTATTCAGGGATGGATTGATAATAATAGTGGTGTAGATTACATAGCTGGAACAGTAAGTGTATTTAAATAATTCTGGAACTGTAAGTATATTTAACTGATTCATATCTTTACGTCTTAGTTGTAAACACTGTAACTAACAGGTAAAGACAGAAGTTAACATATTACCATTTATTTCACTTTTAGTAAGTAAATGCTTATTAGTTAGCTTCAATTTGTAACTAAGTGTTTCTCAAATTATCTTCCTGGTAGCTCCTCTACGTTAGAAGTATTATTAGTTTTTTTTATACTGTATACTGTATTTTGTTAAACAACGTCTGTTGTTGATAAATTTTTATTGAATTTAAATTTCAGTAAAGTGTTTTTAATAAAGTAATTATTACAAGAAGCTTCTTGTATTGCATCAAATGTAATGTTCTTTTTCTGATAACTGAGGTATCAGAAAAAGAAGAACTAGAATTCTCATTGTATTTGAATACATTTGTGAATTTCTGGAATTGCGGATCACTGATTGAAAAACACAAAGTTACCCGAATGATATTGTGTACCAGGGTAAAAAGATAGGTTAACTGGTATTAAACTTCTCATAGTGTTTAACATTACTTTTAGGGATTGAAAGGAATACTTAGAAGCATGTT